AACATGAATCATGATATGAATTAACTATTTATAAAACTTTTAACACACTCACAAACAAGTAGGTCATATCTTAATCACAAATGTTTTAGGCAGGTGAGAAAAAATGCTGTAAACAAAGAATGCTTTCAAAAATGGAAGTGTTAATCACTTATTTCAATCAATGAACAAAATGCAGTGAATGAACAAAAGAGAAATCTAAATCAAAACAACATTTGGTGTGACCACCCTTTGCCTTCAAAACAGCATCAATTCTTCTAGGTACACTTGCACAGTTTTAAGAGGGAACTCAGCTGGTAGGTTGCTCCAAACATCTTGGAGAACTAACCACAGATCTTCTGTGGATATAGGCTTCCTCACATCCTTCCTCACTTCCAGTACTTCTTTCTCTTCTTTATGCTGAAGATAGTTCTTAATGACTTTGGCTGTATGTTTGGGGTCATTATCCTGCAAAACGAATACATTTGGGACCAATAAACAATTATTTATATTTCTGAAAGCATTCTTTGTTTAAAGCAATTTACACCTGTCTAAAACATTCGCACAGTACATAGTATATGTATATATACATTTATATATTAATCTTAATGGTTTATTAATCTACTGAGACTTCATATTTAATCTTACTCTAACTTTTTAAATGACACCATGAACACATTATGCATTAGCTTTTTTTTTATCAAGAAAAACATGTATGTCTCTATTTCTAAATCACATACTAAGGGGAGTAACACATTATAAAAGTGCTCTGACCTTCCCCTCCTGCCTGTCACCAACATTTCCCACTACTTAAGATTCGTCAGAGTATTTCTGTAAGTGGCATGACACAGAGCTGTACTGAAAGTCTGAGGTGTACAGCCCATGTAACATACCAGTTTACACTCTCACAAACATCTCCACGTATTTATAAATCATCCAGTTCTATTAGACTGTCATAAACAAGTTTAACTTTTAAACACGAAAGAAATAGTAATGAAAAAAAAAAAAGAAAAAGAAAACTAAACACTCAAAATTAACACATTTATATTACTCATCCCTCTGAAATTGACATTAATTATTCTTCAGGGGAATTAAATTTGCATTGTTTTTAAGTGTCAAACCTAACCTTACAATGGAAGTGGTAAACCTGCATTTTATAATTTTATAATTTATAATAACCTTGCATGAGAAGTGACTGAGGATACTGAATGTAAAACTTAAACTTAAAGTACGGAGCTTTAGACACCCTTCAATATAACATATCCACTACTGAGAGGCTTGAAAATGACCATAAAGTGGAACCAAAGCCTCTCTTACATAATGTAAACAAAAACTGAAATTTTTACGTTTAGGACAGGTTGCTGAAATACATTCGATTATGTGGGTGCTTCTGATGTATTTGTCAAACTGCTTTTTAAGCAGTAACTGAGCAACAGCTGTGATGGAGTGAAATGTTACAAAGAGCCATCAGTCTACTCAGATACTTTCTTCGCTGCTCACTTGGAACATTTAAGCAATTTCTCTCAACTGCTAGAGTGCGACTTTATCAGTGTCCCTGCCCAGCCGGCTACAGTGGGTCACCACAACCCCTCAGTAATGAAGTCCGAGCATCTATGGCAAGATGAGCTCACCAAAAAGAGCCAATCTGCCACAGCTAAAAGAGTGTAATGAGGTATCTGTCATGGTTATATGAGCGTTATATGTTGAGATATAGTGTTGTAAAGTCTTCATTTTCATGGAAAGGCAGCGAGAAAAAAATCCAATTTTATCCAATAAAATAACAACTTGTGCAATAATTCTTTCTTGGATTTGTTCTTTTGTACTCAGCAACACCTTAGAAGGTTGCTCTGCAGTAGAATTTACATAAATCAACTCTGTTACTACAACTTTTACTGTTTATATAGTTTTTCTTAGGGCCAAATAAGTCAAGCTGATATATGAAAAACACATTCTTATTTATAATGCCATGGAATTTAATGATCCTTGTCTTTTTCTAAATGAGGAAACTTTGTTTATGACAACAAAATCATCAGGTGAAGTTATGAAATTTTGTGTGTTGATCGATTAATAGATGATCCTTGAGAGTTAAAAACGTTTTCCTCCCTAAAAAATATTGTATTAGTTAGAAATTAGGAATTAGTAATCACTACATTTTTGCTAATTAATTGTTGTCCAGTTACTTTTGAGAGTCTGAAAATGGGAGACTGTACAAAAACCAATGCAATTCCTAAACATTTCATATGACAATATACGATTTATTAAACCCACTGCAATGAATTAAAGCTGAATCTTCACTTTCTTTACATCTTGATTGCCCGATTTAAAATCAGTGTGTTGGTATACAAATGCAAAATTACAAAAATTGCATTTTTGTCCATGTATTTAAGGATCTACCTGTAAACATTTTACAAGGGCAACAACCTGCCATGGAAGAAGAAGAGGAGAAATGATGTGGACTGCACATTCTTTTAGTATTAGAAACATGCTTATAAGTCCAAGCTTGTTTAGCAAGTGGGTGCCATGGTCCTCAGTGTTTGACCCAGTGTTTTGAGTTTGTTATTCTTTGTTCTTAGTTAAGAGTTTCTTCTCATTTATGATTTCCTGTGATCTTGGAATGAAGGAGTTTTTTGGTTCTTGGTTATAATTTAGTCCTCAAGTTTCAGTTAATGTCTATTTTCAACAAGCATTCTACTTAGGGTTATTTGATTTAGTCTCTTGTTATTTTCTTAGCTTCCCTGTTTGTGTCAATTTTGCATGTTATTCATTGTCTCAGTGTTTTTATCTTTTATTTTGCTGGTCACTTGTCGTGTTAGTTAGATTCTGTGGCTGTTTCTTTGCTCCCTAACTACCTCATATGTGTATTTATGCCCTGAGTTTTCCTTAGTTCTTTGTCATGTCCTCCCTCACTTGTTGTGTGTCTCCCTGCATTGTGTTCTAGTGTTTTCTGCCCCTGTTTAGGTTTGTTCTGTGAGCTACCAGCAACATAACAGAGTGTTTGAGTTGACTCTCGTACCCCATGTTCTGTATTTCGGTCAAAATCCTGCCTGTTACATAACTGAACAGGACAGAGAACTGTAGAAAATATGCAGATGCCGAGAAGTGCAAAAGATTTTTGGCAGTATTTGTTTTTATTTCAGTATAATTAATGTTTTCTTTTTGCGATCAGCATCTGGAGAGTATTCACTGATACAGATCAGTCAATTATACTCAGAATGAGGCAATAGTTTGGGGCAGAAGTCATTTAGTGTTAGTGAAAGCATGCAGGAGAGGATGATGAGAATTCAATTTAGAGCCAAAAATTGGTGTTATTTTCAGGCAATTATGTGAAATACACAATAGACCGGGAAAAGACAACAGCTGTTAGTCAGAGATGGAATAACATTCTCTCACTTTATTTATCTGCCTTCCCTTCCCTGACAGACACATACTCCCCAGTGAGCTGCAGTGATATCATTTGGAAGAGTTAACTCATTCAGATCATACCTTGTTGCAGTGCGACATCCATCACATCCATGAGCACCGAGCCACTCCCAGCTTCCTACATCAGTGTATTTTCTCATGACTACGTTGTGCAGACTTTGATTTCTTTGAGGCAGAAGGATGAAATTCATGACATAACTGCTCTTAATAATATTGGAGTAGGCCTAAATGTTTTTTTTCTTACAAATAACTACAGTAATGATGTAAACTATAGCTTTTTAAACATAGCAAAACGTGTTGTTCAAAATGTGATTAGAAAATTAATAAAAGAAGTTAAACATTTAAACAGATGTGATATTCTTTTAAATGTAACATAAAAATGACAGTTTCCTTTGAATATTGAGTCTAAATATCTGTGTGACTTTGAAGACATGCTGTTAATCACCCACTACTTCCCCCATTAAATATCAGCATATTTACTCCTAATTGAGGTGACAGTTATTTTCTCTGCTCTGTTTATTAATATCCTCCAAGTTTAACATCGTCATCAAGTCTGAAAGTCTGAAAGTCAAACATCACTATTTGAGATGTGGACGGTTTTTGCATCTAAACCTCATTTTGGTTATCAACTAATTTAAATAATTTTCAATGTTTTTTTCAATTTTGTTTCATGTATTTTATTTAGCATACAAATAAAAAGTTAATTAATTAATTAAGTAATTATTAATTAAGTACTGAAAAATACATCTGATCTGTTCAATAAACCGAAATAGCTGTCAGCCAGGTCAGAACAGTTACTGTTGATGGTTATTTTTAAGCGTATTATAAACATACAAGAAATTAAATATAAATATTTCATTATTTTAAGTGCAAAGGATTTCATCCTCAAAAATCATGGTTGTTGTCAAACCACTGTAGTCACTCTGGAACACTTACAGTGGAACTATTATGGTCACAGTATATTTAAACAGAGGGACTTTGCATTATTCACAGTTCTATCATATATTAGACCTTGGTGAAATGTATTCGCTGTCTATAAATATTTTAGATGATCTTTCTTTAAAGCCATCCTTCTTTTAAACCCAATTTGTTCTTATAGACTGGCCCTCACATATAGAAGGATTGAACAGCAGAAATATGGGGATAATGCATAATCAAATTGCAGCTTTAAATAACTTTAATAGATATTCAAAAACATTTTATTGCTACAAGACATAATATTTGTAGTATTATGCAGTATTATTTATATCCTCGACATCTCTGAGCCTCTTGCTTTCCTTTCCGACAGCTTTCACCTTACTGGAAGCCTCAAGTGCAAATTTACCAATGGTCTCTAATAGTAAATGTCCCTAAAGAAAGACATAAACAACTGAGTTTCATTTTATTTATTTATTTTTCATCTTCATATATCTATATATACCTAGATTTTCTACAAAAACTATTATTTTATTTTTTAAATTATATTTTATATAAATTATATTATATTTTTAATTTATGGCTGAATTACTTACATAAGACATCCTGATCATCAGTCTTTCACAGCAGTGTCCATAGCTCTGACGGAGGCAGCCTATCAGATGTCAACATATCGCCTCCTCGCTGCTGATTGGCTGACTCGTGGAGGAATGGGATGTCGGGACAGCAAAGATGTCCGCGCTCATTTGAAAACCTGCTATAGGCGAATACGGAATTTGCCACTTGTTTTTATGTTTGTAGGGTGACAACGTTGTGCTCAAGCGAGACGCATTGAAAGGAAAGATAAGGACTCCGCGACAAGGGCCAGACTATTCCTTATTATCAGGTTAGGGGCTAAATGTCTCCTTGTAAGCTGAAAGCTAGCTGCAGCTAACGATAGCTAGCATGCTAGTCGGGCCGTTTCAATGGTGTTTAGTGTCAGCATGCAGACTCATAGCTGACTGTCAAGTTGTATATTTATGTAATTTACAGCGTCTTAGTTTCTGTAGAGTACCGAACTTTGTTTAGGGGAGTTTTTGAGGTAAGAACTTCCAGCTAACTTCTAGCATGTCGCGTCTATCAAAGTCAACAGAAACTTGCTACCGTGGAAGTCCTGTGGAAATTGTTAATGAGATTTCTATCTCCTACTATGTTGACCCCTCTAACGGGATAGTTTTAGTAATAGTAAAGGTCCAGTGAGCCTGCTTCAGCCAGCTAAGTTGTCGATGTGTTAATAGAGAACATTTTTTAGCCACCAGTAATGCAATCTGTCCTTCAGTCAAGTAAATTAAATAAAGTTATTTACGCAGAGGAAGTGTATTTACACCTCATCTTATACTCACTGGTATTCACAGTACTTTACAGATAAGCTACTGATAAAAGTGATGTCATCATTAATGTTATAAAGAGAAAATGACAGAAGAGAACAGTTTATGTGAAACTCTTTGTTCTTAAGTACTACAATAAACTTGTCTCGAGGATCTATACTTTATTTTTTATCGTATTAAATAATGGATATGAATACTACAGCTAAACGGACTGGTATGGCGCAAATTGGTGATGCTCTTCAGTTGTGTCTGAAAAAAGGTCTTGCTTGCTTTTAAATACTGTTATTTATACCTCAAACTCTGTTCTTCCCAGAAATAATGCTGATATCTGAAACTCATGTCGGAAGTCGTGTATGAAGAGACAGCCACGATGATTGCCGCAGGGGAATTGCAGTCATTTGTCCCGTTTGGCCGCGAGCACTGCAGGAACCATCCAAACGCCTTCAACCTGCAGCTCAGAGAGCTCCAGCCTGCCTCCGAGCTGTGGGCATCAGATGGTGCTGCTGGCCTGGTGGGGTCCCTGCAGGAAGTCAGTCTGCAGGAGAGAGAGAGGGTGAGAGTGTCTAGTATTATGACCTATAATTTTTCATAATAGGAGTGGGCCATCTAACAGTCTTATTTAATGGATAGCCTGAATTGTTCTCCTGACCTGCTCTTCAGAGGAACTAGTGTGTATTAAACAGTAAAAATATAAGAAGGAAAATGGTAAATAGAATACACTTAAAGCGTTTAAATTTGTTTTTTCATTAACATATCTTTAATTACTTTAAATCTTTAATGATTTTTTTACACTAATATAGTCAGTGCAATTGTTACAACACTGCTGCACTGCAGTACTTAATGTGTTTTTAAGCTCAAATGTGGTTTTGATTTGGTTTTTGTGTTGATGTGTTTTGAATGACAGGAATTTTGGCAGCTTAGGAAGGGCTGCAAGGGAGTCAAAGAGGAAGATGTGGAATTTGAAGAAGAACTCTATGCAGCAGGAAACGTGGTTGTCTGGAGCCAGGGTAGTAGGGCTCAAGCTTCCAGTGTATATAAGGCCTTCACTGTTGACAGCCCAGTGCAGCAGGTCTGTTTCTGATTGTTTTGTGTACTACATGGTCTCTCATAATTGTGCTTGTCCATTCTCATTTCTAAGGGCAAATGAGGGACCATCTTGTTTTCTGTCAGGAATCAGTATGGCTTTTGCTTTACTATATAGATTGTATATCACCCACGATGATTGTCAGGATTCTGTGCTCTAAGACTTGAAACAGTTTTTTGTTTTTTTTTTTGTATTATCTCCAGGCCTTGTGGTGCAACTTTGCTGCTCCTCACAAGAAGAATGATGGTACTGTGTCTTTTTGTGCAGTTTTTTGCTTATTCATATTGCAGTCCTGATGAACAAAACACAGAATGTTTTTAATGTTTTGCAGATGAAGAAGTGGAGCTCACAGTGTGTATTGTCCAGAGTAGCTGTGTTAATGTTCACACCATGACTGGAAAAGACTTCATCTCACCACTGCCGTTCCAGGTGAGGTATAGAGCAATATTAATGGGGAATGTTTATATCCAGCGAAAGAGATGGGTCTACACATGAGCCACAAAATTCTTTTAAATCTGTGTGACTCAGTTGGACCTCCACTACCTAAACTTTCACCTCAACACAGATGCAAGCTGACATGCAGCAGTAACTGCAGGCTTCTTTGTGTGTCTCCCATGTTCCAGAACACTGCTGAATAAAAGGATAATTTGATTAGTGGATGCATAAGTCTCTGAAACATTACCCCACCTGGCTGCTGAACTAAAACCACACAACCCACCACGTTTGGATTAGGGATATTTCTCAGAGCCATTATTGGTTAACCATTTTCTGGTTAACCAGTAATGATAGAAAATTTGCATCACTGATAGTGGGAAGTAAGTGTGTGTGAGTTTATGTGTGTGCATAGCTTTGTGTATTTACGAGTGTCTTTCACTCAGTAGTCTGTTGCACACCAACAAAATATAATTTGATTTCAGGATGTGTTTTCAACGTTTGAGTTTTGTTTTTTTGTTTTTTTAAACTTGAGGCATTCGTGATAAAGCATTTGATATTTTCTTACGGGAAAGGTTGGACATACACTCTTACTAATTAACTGAATTTAATAAAGGGGCAAGCAAATCGTGGGTTGGTGTTGTGAGAAAGGCAAGAAACACCTTGTGAGAGCCTTTGTGACAGGAAGAATCCCCACTGCTGTGGTGTCCCTGACACTGAAGCTCTCAGGGTGTTGCACTTTTCTTAACCTTTCAGTGCTGTTTTTAAGTGGCAGAGAATATCATTAGTATTAGTTTCAATAGAAAGTTATTCAAGATAATTTAAAAATGGTACAAGTAACCATTTTTTAAATAAGAATTTTAATAGCTGGGATGTAAAATGCAAAGTTTTGTGAATATTGTCAGTTTTTCAATATTCATTTATATAAGGCTGTATTAAACTACTCTAGGAAAGCAAAGAAAACAAGTGGCACCTCTAGCCTTAAAATAAATATCTGACAGAGACTTTATTCATGATTGTTGGACAAAATTTAACCTAACTATGAATTTTATTATTTACTGGTCAGGATGGATCTGTGTAAACAGAATGCAGTTTTTTGCATTGTTTTAAATGCAGGTCAAAATATTGAATGGTTTAGCATTTAAGGGGGCTATATGGACACCCAAGTTTGTGAATGCAATAACTTAAGAATGAAGTCACATAGGATTTTGAAAATTATACCATCGGTGTATCTACTAAAAATCTTGTACTAGTTTGAATCTCAGAAACCTTGACCTCATGAGAACAAGGCGATGTAAAATTTGGAAATTCATACTTCTACTAGGAGGCTGGGGAGTACCATCGGCTGCCATCAGTGTTTTTAAAAATTGTTGATACCAGACATCTGTTAAAAATGTTTCATGAGTCTGTACTGTCTTTTCTTTTCAAGGTGTCAAATGTGTGGGCAACAAAGTTTGGACTTCTTATGGAACGTAAAAGCACAGCAAATGATGCACATTTCAGCCCCCCTGGGTATGTGCTCACACTCTGCACTTGCAATCACATGCCTTCACAAGTACATTTGTATCTCTGTATCTCATTGTATCTCATTGTACAACTGTATAGTGACAATAAAGGCATTCTATTCTACATGACACGTTTCGATTAATCAGTGCATCCATGTGAAATAATGTAGTGACAGACATTTCTACACTGACCTACATACACAAACATAAAGTATATAAACGAGGGATTGAGCTCTTATTCCACCCCCCCCACCCCCATACAGGGAACCTCTGCCCACAGTTTTCAGCATGCTGCATCCTCTAGATGAGATCGCACCAGTTGTGTGTAAACCTGCAGGTATGAGACACTGATCTTCTCAGAATGAGATCTTGTGAACGTATTTCATATTTTTCCTGAATTTGTGTGTATTCTTTTTTCCAGGCCTGTTTGAAGGCCGTGTGCAGTATGTGTCTGACTCGGCCATGAAGATAGTGTTCACCTGCTGTCAGCCGTCTATAGTTGTATCATATGACACAGTTCAAGGAATACACTCTGTCTGGACTCTGCGCAAAGTCACACATGATGTGAGTGATCATGAATACACACAAAGACACTAAAACCAACTAAGTTCTTCCTAAACTAAAGCCTTTTAACCCTGTCAGGAGCGCTCTACAGTCCTGCGGTGTCCGGCAGAACCGGCTGGGACACCGTTGGGTCTGATGGCTTCAGGCTTTCTCACTTCTCATTTGCGGAATGTCTCCCGTCATGACTCCCCTGGTGGCACTGGTCCAAGTGGGCATGGTCTTGGGACTGGAACAAGGTACTGAAAGTGGAGCAGCCTAATCAAGTGATTAGCAGACGGGCAGGAATTAGTTAGCGTCTTGTTACATTTCTGAGTAAAGCAAAAGTCCCACTGTCTAAAGACAGCTCCTCAGTTATTGGGGTTGCTGCTGTGTCATACAGACTGAACAATAAAGTGATACTTAATGGATTATATTGCCTTAAAAATAATTACAAGTTAAAAACTTGGAGACCAAAACGTCAGCATCTGACCTGGTTACTGTTTTTCTTCCTGCAGTGCTGTTGGTTCCAGCTCTCCCCTCCACTACAGTGCTTTGCACAGCCACCAGAGCAGGATTGTCACATCCTCACCAGGAACTCACTCTCGAGTTCATTCTCCGAGTATATCCAACATGGCCGCCCTCAGGTGAGGTTAACCTAGCCAATGAGGACCATACCCATAATAGGTAAAAACTGAAAAATGCTTATCCCCTGTCCTCCTGTCTCAGCCGTGCCCACTCTCCAGGCATGGCAGCTCCATCCTTTTCAGGTGTGGCTCGTTTCAACACGTCTTTGCACAGCTCATCCCCCAGGGGGCACCATGGCTTGTTAGCATCTCCCAACAGTACTATCAATGAGACAGTGTTGGTCCCAGAGATGGAACCTATCATACCTGACCTCTGCATGGAGCAGCTATGGAGTGAGGCGGTCACTGCTGGCTCCAACAGGTAATTGGCAGCATTGAAATCTAACTTCAAAGCTTTTGACTAGTTTTAGCTCAAAGGTCGCTCTTAAAAATGTAAAAATTGCTTTTAAGCCTGTAACTCTTTTGTCGTATTGTAAATGTGAGGCTATTTTAATCAGTAAAGGAAAAAACAATAAGCAATGAAAGCTTGAATGGTCTTGCAAAGTTGTTCATTAGCCTTTAGATCAAAGTTTGTGAGCAACTTGTTCTTTGTGTTTGCATAATACACAACTTTTTTTTTTTTAAAGACATCATTTGTATTCTATGTAATACAGTTCTTTCTGTTGCTTTAGGCTGTTCCAATTTAGCAAATTCTGCTGTTTGACATCAGTTAACATCTCTTTTTACCATTTACAGGGAAATGAGCAGCCAGGCATCTAAAGTATTCCTGACCTCTGATCTCTGTGAGAATCATTACCTGTGTTTCCTGGTGGAATCTCACCAACAGCTCAGGTAAACAAACATACACACATCTTTGTCCACCCTAATTTGTTGTGAAATGTGAGTTCACAAGTTAACTTTTTTTTTTCATGATCATTTTATTTACTGCAGATGTGTGAAGTTTATTGAGAGCAATGATACGTCACAGCTCATCTTCCCCTCTGTCACAACCATCCCTGCTAAAGATGCGGAGCCTCTGCAGGTGCATTATAAAATTCTATCATTGGAGAGTTGAAAGGGAAAGCGCAAAAGTTAAAACGGGGGAAAACGGTATTCATTAGAGTCAAGAGTCTGTATGAAGTTTATGGTGCTGTACTGTGCTGAAAATAGCCCTTAGCAGGCTCTTCCACCTTAACAAATTGTTGCATGGGTGGTGTAAAGTTGTAAACATTGTGTAGGAGGCCTTCCTGTATTTTTATTTTTTTTATTTTTTTTTAAATCTTATCCGGATGATTACAAGTTTTGCAAGATATAATTAAGGTTTTCCTTGCTACCTACAGGAACTAATGTGTGTATATACATGAGATAAATCTGTTCCGCAAAGGATTTTGTGAAAAACTGTAATTAAAACTTTAAAAATAAAACTGTAATTATTTATCATAGTGGCGGTTATGTCCGGTCCATGCCTATCAACAAAGTCTAATAGCAAAATGTTTTTTCTAGTTTAGATCAGGTTGGTCATTCTTTCCTGAAACGTTTAGTTTTCTCCATCGTCTGGATGGTAAAACTACCATGTGACCTGAGGTCTCCCAGGAAAACTATGGAGTTGGATGCTTGAATTTTGGAGCAGAAACCAGTGATTTATGTTTATTCATTATCATTTCAACTTTTAAGTTATTTTTTTAAGTATGCACATTTACAGGTTCTAGCATCTTGTGTGAATATTTGATAATTTTCTTTGTATTAAGTTGTTGACAGTTGGGGAAATTACAGCAGGTTTTTTTTGTTTGTTTGTTTGTTTTTTTTGGAGTAACATTCAACGTGTTTCTGACAATGAAACTTTGCTCCTCAGAGTATAGATGCCATGCTAGTTCTGGAGGCCTGTGGTAGTTTGGTTCTCTATACAGGAATCACCAGGGTAAGCACAGCTGCCTTTGCTTCCTGTAGATGACAATTGAGTTCTCAGATTTTTTGATTTATTTATTTATTTATTTTTTTTAATTTTTTTTAACGGTGTAATGAATCATGGGATTGCTTTCTTGGCTGTCATGTAGGTCAGCAAGGTGTTTGTGCCTGGACTGTTGTCACCCTCCTTCAGCCTGACCAATCACCTCCCTCACCGCAGCACTCCAGTGGAAACTGTTAGCACACCAGCTAATGCTGGCAGTAGGCATCTCCAAAGACTTGATGAGGTATTAACATGCATTGTAAATGCACTTTTCTTTGCTTTTTAAGTGTGTACCGGTACTGTATATCTGGTACATTTGACTCCTTTGGTTCACCTCTCTATTTTAACACCTCTCTTCAGGATGCCATGCCTTCACCAGTGACAGGTCTAAGGGGTCCAAACATTAAACACCATGATGCTTCCTTTTTGGAGGATTACACATTTCAGCCAGCCACACCCTACATCAATGCCTTACGTGATCCTGTCTGCAACCGGGTGACTCTGGTAGGTTTTCTGTGTTTAACATAGATGGCATTGATCCCTTTTTTTCCCTCAACAATAGGTAAAATGTGTGTTTTGTAATCAAGGGGAATTAACTCAGATGATCGGTCATCCACACACTCACAGTCAGTACAAGAAACAGATGATGTAATCAAATCAAAGCCAAAACAAAACACAAGTTCAAATTAATGTTTGGTGTCCTAATTTTTTAACTCATCTGAGTTTAATGACATATACAGAGCTGATTATTAGAAGGGGACTTTTCGGATACAAACTGCCAAAAGATGGTTGTCAGCTGTCAGTGCAGTGGAGGGTAAAAACGCATCAAGTGAAATTTGGACTGACTGCTACCGCACCACGACAACATAGTGAGACTCTCCCTTAAGGTGTTGTTTCTTGTTTCTCATGTCTATCTGTGTCTGCACAAGTGATTCAGGCACATTCATATTTGTGAATGACGGTTACAAAAGCAACGTTGTTCGTGTTTCTGCCTCTTGGGTTAATCCTGTCAGACTTGGTCTAGACACTCTCTTTAGCTCCAGGACTTTACATTATTCTCTAAGTTACACACCAGCCAAACATCACTGTTTCTTTCTCTTATACATCATCAGAAAGCTTTCTGTCTGCAGGCTGCTGCTCTTTTGACTTTGCTCATTGAATTTCTGTTTGAGACCTCAATATGTCAATCCAGAGACTAATTGTTCCTAATGCGGCGCACTGGACTTTTCAAACCTCCTGCTCCTGTTGAGTTTCACATCAGGGTTTCTTTCATGAAAAGATGACAAGAACAGGACAAAACCTGCTGGAGAAAATGTGATGAGAGGTTTTGGTCTGTTTTTCCATCTAGAGCACAGCTATTCAAAATAATTGGAAATATACAGTTATAATCCTGGTGAAAATGTGAAAGTTGCATGCTCTCAGTGACTGATTTGGTTATTTTTCTTTTTAGCTGATGATATTAGCTGTGATGCAGCTGGTAGAATAATTGGATATAACTTGCTGCAACAGAAAAATGCTGCTGTATACATAATTGCAGGACAGGAAATGCTCGGAATTACCGCAACTTGTGAACTGATTACTCGTAAAGTATAGCAATAATAACATAGTAATAATAATTCAAGATACCCAAGGACACTTTACAATTGGATAAAACACATAATGGAAAAATGAAAAAATGAAGAAAAGTAAAACGAGTGCAAGCAATCATGAAATATTAAGTGAACCCTATAATTTATATCTTGTTGAGTTTTCTTTAGCATCAAGAAGCTGCTTCTTAGACTTGCACATCAACAGGAAGAATTGTTGGAGTGTTCATGTAACTGTTTCAGTTCATCAGTATTTCTGGGATGTCTTGATTAAACCCAGCAGAGAGAGGAAGTCATTTGGTTGAAGACGGGACTCTTTTGACTTGACCATTTCAACGCACGTTTTAAAAAATTCTGTTATTCTGTTGTTGACTTACTGGTGTGCTTTAGGTCATTGTCTTGTTGCATCACCAACACCACCAACTCTCCCAAGTTTCAGGTCACAAAGGCCCTGAAATCCACCTGAGGTACACCCTAGGAAGGTCGCCAGTCCATCACAAGGCTAATAGAGAGAGACAGTCCTCATTCACATTCACAGTCACACCAGAATTGGACACCAGAAATGCCTTGACCCGGCATAAAGAATACAATTTAGAATTCACGGTTCTTTTAACAAAGACTCAAGGCATCCCTAACACAACTAAACCATTCTTCAGAGTTGCGTAGACGTTTAGGTGTTGTTGTGCAGTGCTTTTTTTTTTTTTTCACTTCTAAACTCAACATTGTTAATTTTCACCGAAGGTCCAGGTTTAGCTTGCCTAACAACAAAGCAAAGAAGTTTTGTTAAACCTCCATTTTGTCTTTTGCAAACATGGGATGTTTTGTAATTATGTTTTTAATGGTTACTTTCTATTCTGTCCTTCAAAACTTTCCTTTTTCAATCTTTTTCTTATAATGAACACATGAACAAAGGTGTTAGCAAGTTTTACTTATGGTGTGATCTTTACAGGATGTACAGGCAGAGATTAATTATAGATGAAGATCAGACTACTTATTTTATGACAAATCAATACAGGAATCTTTATTTGAAATATTTCGAAGCATTTTGTTTCAAGTTATGGGTTGAAAATTTCATGTGTGTTGCACTTTTGACAAAATGCTGTAAGAACGCCTGATGTGACATCAGTGATTGGAGTAGTGCTTGAAAGTTTAATCAGCTTAAGTTGCAGCCAGGAAGTTTCTGACTGCATGTAATTAAATGTTATTTGCTGTTGTTTAGTGTTTCTGGCGAGTCTGTCTAGTATACCCGAAGACAATGAGTTATTGCACACACCAGTTTCTTTTTTCTGAGATTTGCAATCAGGCTTTCTCTGTTGAGGTCTTTTATCAGTTTTGTGCTCACAAACAGCTGTTTTGCACTGATATAAAATTGATGTGAAATTGAACTTAAAGATTATAATTTAAATGTATGCACAATCTGTCTCCACAATTTCTCCAGGAACTAAGCATTGGCACAATGCTGAGGATTTCTATCCCAGAGATTGCTACTTCAGACCTGGGTGAGTCACACATATATACATTTAAAAAAATTAATCAAAGAAACGCTCTCACACATTTAAGAGTTGACATTGCAGCCGACAATGTTGGCGTGTACATTTTAAGTGAGACCACACACAGATCGCTTAGTCAGTGCGGTGAGGTCCTTTAATTAGGTTTGAGAGCCTCTCTGCATCGTGTCCACAGTGACATATAATCTTGATGTCTTGAGGACCATTCTGAGGCAGACACTCACGGGCAGCAAGCACAAAACATTACACTGATAAACACTTTCACAACACCAGAATTGTTAATTTTTTTTCTATTTATTAAAGAGGATAGTTAAATCTATTGTAAATAATAGATGTAGCTCAAATCTTTATATATGGCTTAACAGAATGATGTTGTGCATCATAACTACTTCAGGAAATGGAAAGGAAAGGTCGTACATGTATGAACTGAAAGCGAAATGTGTGTCTGAACCTCTGGTAATAAAATATCTGGAAACAGATGGCCTGCTATGCTGAGGTGAATTGGAAAGATGACACAGTTGTTTTTAGATGTGCAGAAGCACAGATATCCACATCTGCTCTTATTGTGTAATCTCTTACACAGGCTTGATGTAAAAATTAGTCAACAAATCTATTTAGTGTTTTCACTGTTTTTAAAAAGCCCGTTCTTTTGCTAAACCATTAACATCAGTTCACAGTGGGAATAAAAATGGAGGGATCTTTTTCTTTTAAATCAGGTAGTACTAAAAGCTTTTAGCAGCTTTTATCTAAACAAATGTGGGGCAGCATCTTTGCCACTGCTGATAAAACCACTGTTGCCACTTCTTTTTTTTCTTTTTTTGGTTAAGGTTTTCACCTTTTGGCTTTACTGAAATGTCATTATCCTTTCAGTTGTTTAAAAGTACCTGCCGGGGGGGGGGTTTAATAACATTTTTAAGATCCAACAAACAGATTTGCATAATATATATTTTCTTGCTATGTTGTACCACAGCCTTTGATTATCTAATCAGCATTTTTAGATAATCATCCAAAGGTATTAACTTAAAAAAATAAATGCCTTTTTTAACTTTAAACCTTCCAAACTTTTCCAAAGATTCTGACTGTCTGCTCTGTCTGCTTCGTTTTCTTATGTAAGATTTTCCACATGAAATGGAAAATTACTGTTTGTTTTTCTGGAAAGTCCACTCAGCTGGTAAAACAAACTCTATGGTATAACAGCAGACAGACCTATTCATTTCCCCGATGATTTCATTTCCCAATAGCACATAGTAGCTGATGACCATGTACTTTGTAATAATTAAACTAAATTACAGATATTTTTTTTCTAACCAATTAACTTTGAGGTCAGCTGGATGATTTCATCTGTTGTCTACCACTAGTGGATCTACTGTGACCATGAACCTTCTCTTCTAGCTTTTGGTCGTTTTTATTTTTAAAGCCTTCATTGTCACTAAGCAGTGTGTATCACTCTTGCTGCCTTGTGTACCTGCCTTTGTGTCTTGTTCATATGTTGCTCTCCATTATTTTGTAATCGATCCTGTAGACAAGGCTTTCTTCCTCTAATGAAATGGCATTTAGCTACCTCTTTCTTGACCTTTCCAACTCTGGGTGTCCAATTAAGATTCCCAGTGATGTTGATTAAGCATCTGATTGGCCAGAGTTGTTAGGAGACATGGTAGCGCTAATTACTGTTGTTGTGGTAGTTAGTTTGTAATTTCCATTTTTCTTTTTGGGGGGTAGAGGATGATAGGTGGAAATTGTCAGATCAGGATGAGATTCATTAAAAAAAATCTGTTAAAAATAATTGTATTGCACTTTTTTTTGTGTGTTTGTTTCTAAACTTCCATTTGTCTGTGGTTGGTAACACAAGTATTAGAAAGTTTTAGCTCTAGTTTTACGCCTAGAATTCAGGCAGTGGTTTTACTGAATTTAACACTTTTACAATAACATTTCCACCATTTTCTACAGCTGAGAGAATCCAACCAGCAACCTTTTATGTATTTCATCTTTTCCTGTTTTGAAATTATTGCATCTTAGAAAAACGAATGTTTTGTTTTCTCACATTCTTAATGATTATTATTCTTAAACGTAATATAACTAATAAAACTGTACAATTGTTATCTAATTCCATCCATTATGTAGAAAAAATGTTAGTAAATGTCTGTTTTCTGAATTGCCTCATATGATTGTGAATTTCACACCTAACTACCATGAACTGTGACACTTTTGCTATTTCCCTTGTTCCCCTTCGTGTATTTCAGTGAGAAAGTGCCTTGAGGCATTTCGTTTTATCCTGCCTAAAGAAGCTGCTATGAAGGTTGGTGGAAGTGAACATGTGGAATTTCAGTTACAAATTATGTATTAGTTAAAAACTTGACATTGTGCGCAGACAAGCAAAGATTCAGAATAACAACTTAACCAGTCTGCCAATTATTTTAATTCAGTGCATTATTAACTCTACCAAGGAGGGGTGTGTGCGCGTGCGTGCGTGTTCGTTCAGATGGTTACTCAAAAAACTATTGATGGGTTTGCATGAAAATTCTACCTGTGATTGGTCAGTCTGGATCTGGATCTTTACCCATGATTGAATTTTTTGGGAAAGGTTTCACATAATTGAATTTCAGTCTGAAATGCATTTCAAACTGAAATGAAGGGCAAAAAAATTGGGAAAACTTGTGTTGATGGTCTTAAGTAAATGTATTTGCAATTTAATCCAAATCCAGACATCAAGAAGGATGGTCTGAATCTGGGACTTGTGTATGATATTGTGTAGGAAATTTTATACTCAGGAAAGGTAACCTCAAGCTGTGCTATTTATAAGCACTGAAACCTTTAGAGCGTAAGATCGCCATCATGTTTATTTAAATGTTACTCAGTCGTGGTTAGTGTACAGAGTATGACATCAGAGTTGACCAACTAACTCTCTCCAACTAATCAAGAAGGAAAAACAAAGAAGGAAATGTATACAATAACAGCCTCATTAGGCTTTGGCAGAAATTGTATAGGATCTCATTAGGTAGAGTAAGAGGCTGAATGACAAAATTATGTTTTTCAGGGCTTTATTTTCACACAAACATGCAGATATACTCTTTATTTTCATTGCAATGATCTAGAGAAACTCCATTTAGTTTTGCTAAATTCTTTAAATGCAACAGGTTTCGGTGAAATGGTATAACATCTACAATGCACCTGGAGGTCCCAGTGCCCACACAGAGTGGAGCCTGTTTGTCACCTGCTTCATGACACTGATGGGCTACAACACCGAGCGCCTGACCTGGACACGAAATGTGAGTCAGCATTTGTATTTTGTTTTTTAAACTGTAATTGTAATTTCCAGTTAATGTATTGTAGAAATGGCTTTCCAATTTGTTTCATAATTAATGACATTTGCAGTCATCCTGAGTAGATTTAAAAATGAAACTTTCAGTAAAAATCTTGTACATTAATACAAAATGATTCTTGGCAGCCAAAAGCCTGGTCTGCTTTGAACTATTTTTTTTTTAAATTCTTGACTAGAAAAATCCTATTGTGGCTTTAAACTGTAATTTGCATGTCTTGACCTTGCTCCCTGTCCTTCTTCCTACTTTCACAGCTGCATTTTGAAATGCCTCTCTCTCCAGTGATTGCAGCCAAGAAGGCTCGTCCCTCCGATGGAGGTTCTGATGAGGTGTGTTACTAAAGTGTGAGCTGTTGTGATGTTTTAGAGCACAATTATCAAGCTTTATTACAGCTTGTAGACTTATAATCCCTTAACAATCAATTATGCATGCAAGTGTTGTCTCACATAGTGAGACAGTGAAACAAGTGTTATAAAAGAAAACACAGCAAAAAGCAAGTGCTTCAATACTCTTGAATATACTTATATATTATACTTATATACTTTTGAATCCCCCAAATTGCAGATTTTAGAAAGTAATATATATCACTAATGATTTCTAGTCTCATGAAACATCCCTTGACTTCTTTCCATGTCTTAATTTTCTCAGTTACTAAAGTTACATTTGTTTTATATACTGCTTGTGGTGGCCCCTTGGCCAGAATTTCCTGGAAAAATAATTTCTTGTTTCTCTGTAAGAGTTCCCTGGTTAAATTAATTTTTACACTATTTTATATCATTTTTCTTTTTCTTTCTTATATTAAACAGTAATTTTAAAGGTCAAATTCATGCTTTAGAAACTGTTGTTTTGAAACTGTTTCAGCTGTTTTCATTTTAGCTTGTTTGCTGTTTACTTTTGCTATTGTGTTTATAAGTTTTAAGGACATAATAAAGCCTTTAACCTAAAGATTTTAAAAATACATTTTAGTAAAAAAAGAAAAAAAAAGAATCAACCAGAATACAGTCATGGAGAACTCTGTGTGATGGGAAATCCCAGTTTACTCTTAGGAGGAGGGCAGTGGGGGGGACTGTAATCTGTTCTACAATCCTAAACATAGTTACACATATTTGTGCTTTTGTCATTGAGGAGATTCACATTGGCACAATGTGTTCCCTTTCCCCTTGCTGTAACCCTAAATCTGAAACCCAAGTCTTAACCCTTGAAATGGCCCCTCCACAGTCTTCTTTAAATATTCCTAATTATTGGTTGGCTTCTTAAGTAATGTGTTCTCATTAGAGCAAAATATGGTTGGAAAATGTCAGTTAGCTGGAGGCTTAGGCTGTAGTGTGTGTGTGTGTGTGTGTGTGAGACCTGAAGAAATGTGTGAGTCACATTAGACTGGACGACAATGTCAGCTTCTTACCTCTGTTGTCTTCATGCTGCATCAAAGATGTAAAGATGAGGACAGAATTGTTAGAATTATTTCATTTCTGAAGGTTTTCCCAAGTCAGAGCAAAGTATGTTCAGCATAGCTTTTTCCAAACATCCCAATTTTTAATTTGGATACCTAAATTATTTTAGTTTGCCCACAGAAACACAATTATTTCACGAAAAACAAAATCAAACTGAAAAGTATAAGCCCCCCGATGATAGAATCGACCTTTGTCTTCAGTTCACCTCACACATTTTCAATAGGATCAGGGCTTTGTGCTGTAACATCCTTTTGGTCTTTAAAATCTAGTGCTTCATATTTTGGGTCATCGTTGTGTTGGCAGACGAACTGACAATCCAGACCCAGTTTGCTACTGACTGCTTGAAGTTTTCTTTCAAAACTAAATTGATGAAATTCCCAGTTCCAGTTCCATAATACTCCCACCACTGTGTTTCACTATAGGGATCATGTTCTTTGAATTGCATGCATCTCCCTTTTTTTTCTCCAAACTCATTCATCATTCATATTATTGTTTCTATTTTGCTAACGATCTGCATCCCCTTACCAATCAAATTATAAACAATGGAGAGCCATGAGTTGGACCAAAATGCGGTCTGTCTTGTCAAGTGACCAAATGCACAGAAATGTCTCAAAGATCATTTTGCAGTTCACATAACATTTTAATGACTGTATTTGATGTTTTGGTCTCTGGTTTTAAAAGCTATCTTTTTGACTGGTGTTTATCTTTGTTTCCTCTCCCTGTAGGACTGGGACTACTTGATAGGGTCCCATTACCACCGTCAGATGAATTTCTTGCCCGTTGCCACTTCACTGGATGCCAGTGGCAATAGTACAGTCACTTCAGAAACTGAAGGCCTGTGCGCTGTATGTACCAAACACTGGGTGAATCCACTGCATGTTCTTTGATTCTGTTTGTTTGTTGGTGTATTTGGGCTTAGTATTTACATTATGGGTATGATTTGTTGGAATAAGAGTTAATGCTCACAAATAGAGGTGTAATCAACCATACTTCTTCTTCCCTCACCACCTTATTTTTTTTTTCTCATTCAAATTTCCTGATAAAACAATGAGAGATTCCCAGCACACTGATTGTAGGTATATTCAGTATGCCTGCAGACTTTTGTGAACTAGCAAACTTTAGTCATGTTGATTTGACTGACCTTCTTTTGAGTCTCCTTGATTCTGTTTTCATAGCACTGCTGATTTGTATTGCTTTATACACAGAGGTGCTTTCTGTTGTTTAGCCTATATTCCTTGCTGTTATTGTTGTGGACAAAATAGTTCAAACATGAAATATTATTAGAAAAGGGAGCTCAACACTGCAACAATACCACCTTTAATTTGGTTAAAGGAAAACCACAGTAAGTAAAAAATTGTGCAAAGAACATAACACCGAATTTCATTTGGTGTTATTGAAGGGCTGCTGGAGCTCACCTTAACTGTGGGGACAATTCTGGCAAAGAAGAGCAAAAGACATTGGCATGCATTTACTTGTAGTCTTCCTGATTGTTTTTGCACGATGTCATGTCAGTATAAGTTTGCTGTTATATCTCCAGGCAATTACAAAATCTCCTGTTACATCCTGTTTAACCTGTTCCCCCTTTAATTTAATGTTTCTGCTCTTTCTTTTTGCCACTGAATGTCCTAGGCTTCTTCTCCCCCCAGTCCATCTCTGAAGTTGGACAGTTCAGCTCCTCTGTTCCCTCACATCCCTGCACTCTTCTATGTCCTCCATCTGCTCTATCAGGAACTGCAGCTGGATGAGCTGCAGCGAGCGAGAGCTTCATCACTAGTCTGCCTGCTGCAACAGCTGGCTAGGTAACCATTCTTCTAGCTGTCTGTGTGTGTGTTTGAGGTTTTTATGTTTCTTTTTTCTTGTATAAGGAAAGTAAGTTACATTCAGTTGGCTTTGGCTGTCCAGATGACCGAATCTTTCTATAAGATACTTGTCCAACATTTTTACAAGATCCTGTTTATTTTTATGAGGCGTAAAGAAATGCTAGCCTTGAGCTGGGCGACATTTATCAAAACAAACAGAACCTTGTTTAATTTTCCACTGGTGAACTCAAACCACGAGAAGAAAAGAAAAACACACATCATTGTTTTCTGTGAAAGCTTGTGTTGTGTGCCATCCATGCTCTTTACTGAGAAATATACTTCAGCAGGTTGTTAAGTGACCTCGGTTATTGGTGACAATGACAGTAACAGAATGGGGAGAGTGGGAGAATGAAGTACTCTTAGAGTAATTGGCCTGTATTGTCAGTATGTGGGTTGTTATGCAAATATGGTTCTAATGTTTGCATTCTCTGTACTTTATTAACTGGTTAAGCTGGTTAAATGATGATTCTGATGGTTTCATTAGGCATTTAACTGGCACGATAACAGTTTTAAATAAGTAATCTCAATGCCTTAAATGAGCAGTTGCTTTAATTTTCTTTGCAGAATTTACAGTGGAGTTTTAGGATGACCTGTTTTTATGTTAAATCTAAAACAACCTGTTAACATAATGTCAAGACATGACCAGTCTGTTTCCTCTGTGCCTGTGAATTGCAGAGACCAGTTTCTTTAGTTTTGAAAGCAAAAATGAATTTCAACTGTTTCAGCTTCAAGGCTAACTCCTAAACTTTTATCATAGAGCCATGCTATTGCATTGCATAATCATTGTGGTTTGTCATTATCTTCCTTAGTCTTGGTTGAAAAGGACATTGGATAAGAGCATATGTTGCTCTAGCAGATCCATACAGATATATTCAACATTAATGGTGCTTTAACAGAATGAACTAGTCACAAATCAACTTTGCAATGTGCTCTAATCCTCACTCATACCATCATGGATGTGCAGTAATAACAAACCTGATGGTGCTTCTTTAGCCCAGATGATACAA